GATCTTGAATATAAGATCTGACTATGAATATCGGCCTTAGACATATTATTTTATACATTGTACTTGTATGTTAAATACCTGTAATAAATATCGTCTGTCCAGCATAAAAGCTTTGAATCGGCGTTCTGTGTGCTTCCATTTTCATGTTTTATTGTTAGTTACTATTCAAAAAACGTAAACACAGAGATTAAAATTTAATTGTAATAAATTCAAATTTTTCAAATAAATAGCGAAGTTATTGATTTTTCGACTTTCTCGAATGTATGCTTGGTTGGACACGATTTCGAAGACTGAGCGTTACAGGAAATTATTATGAGACATACATAAGCGTAGGTGTTACATATACGATGTCTGGATATTTCATTATGCTGTTTCTTATACGTTTTATATTATAAGATAAATGAAAGACAATGGATTAAATTAACATACTTTTTTGTTAAGAATCATAAAACGAGGTTTTGTTCTTCTTACAACGTAAACATGACACACGTTTTGTTAAAATTAGTATGAGCTATTTGAAATTATAAGCTAAATGAAAGACAATGGATTAAATTAACATCCGTTTTTGTTAAGAATCATAAAACGAGGTTTTGTTCTTCTTACAACGTAAACATGATACGCGTATTGTTCAAAATAATATCAGCTATTTGACGTTAATGAAAAGATTTAAATTAATATGGTCTATTTATGTGATAAGCAAGTAGATCCATTAATTATAATTTTATATACTATAAAATTTAAGTTATACTCGTGATCATAAATTACAATTACTGAATTAATTTTTAATCTGTTCTTAATCTGTTTACACTCATATATTGTTATTTAATAGGTGGTGTTACTTTTGCATGCGCATTGATAGATTTTTTCAACGGGTTGTGAAAGATAATTGGTCATACTTTATGGAAAAAAATAATATTGTTTAGATATTTTCCAAAAAGATATATTTATTTCAAAACATGAAGTTGGGTGATTTCGGATTGCTCCGAAATCATGGATTCGTGGAAAAAGTTATTTATTTTCGATTGCAAAAATTAATTTAAAAAATAAAATTGTTAATACGCAGAACATCGTAAAAATTATTTACTTATTATAATAGATATTTAGAGAACATGATTATGTAGAATTTAAAAATACACTGCTCAAAAGAAATATGGCATAGAAAAATTTTATGCAAAAATTGGTCAACTTTGACTGACGGTAACTCCGCGAAAAATCATCGTAAAATTATGTTCTTTTTTTTAAATTAAAGCTTGAAATCTCTACTTTAAGATACTATAGTTATTGTTTAGGTGTGATGCATCCCTACCACTGTAACACCTTAAATGTGAGGGCATGTTTGTTATATTGAAAATTGCAAAGTTTGACGGAGTGCATGGGCTAGGTACATTTTTTTTCGGGGATACTGTTTGCAGGAACGTAAAGTACAAACCTTCCTCTTCAATTTAAAAAAAAAGCGAGTCGCTACCATTTTTTTTCGCAAGGATACAGTACTTTAAAGTAACCCTTGTATTATTGGCATATACCGCCGGTATTGGCATTACCCGATGTGCGCCCCTGAAAAGAGCCGTTTGTGTGTGTGTGTGTGTGCGCGTGCGTGTGCGCGTGCGTGTGCGTGTGTGTGCGTGCGTGTGTGCGTGTGTGTGAAGAATGACTCATTTTCGGGGTGCTTGATTAAAGTGAGTCCTCTTGCCTCTCACTTGTGTGTGTGTGTGTGTGTGTGTGTGTGTGTGTGTGTGTG